GTGGTCGTGGTGTATTTCTACAAATTAATCACTGGTATTCTAGTCACTGACTCATACTATTAGCCAATCAGAAAATGTAGAAACGAAGGAGAAGGAAGAGAGTAACTTACCTCAAGTAATCTCCACCGAGCTCAATGGGGTTGGGGAGACACGATCAAACAAGATCTAGACAACCTTTAATTTTCCTTCTCTCTCTCTCTCGCTGGCTCCCTAAATTTATAAAAGAATGACTTTCTCATTAATTGATAATTTAAGATATCAATAAAATAAAGGACTTGTTAGGCTTATTCAAGATCTTGAGTCCTCCGTTCTCTAGCTCTCTCTTCTGCAGAGGTGTTATTGCATATCAGATTTCAGATCTTAAAGCTTAAAGCATTTATTTCATCTTTTCAATTTGGCTATTTCTTCGGGGTTTCGATTTGCAAGCAAGAAGGGTTCCGCACGCTTGCTTTGAGAGCTGTTGAAGGAAGGGTGTTTGACCATTAGCTAAAGGTGTCTATGTCATGGCTTTCCAGAACAAGCCACATCTTAATCCACCAGGAGCTGATGATCCACTTATTACAGTCAAAAGGTTGTTGAAAATCGTTGAAAACTTGCACAGACATGTGTCTCCTAAAATGGAAAATCGACTATCTCGTGTAGCAAGAAGCAACGGTGAAGAAGCGAATGAGACTAATAACACGAATGATCCTTTACGAAGCATCCCTCTTCTTGGTATCAATCCTGACGAAGACCTTTTTCTTATGCTAAGTTTTCATCTCGAACTGATAAAAAATAAGCTGATAAAGATGCAGCTACTTCGTGGATATGTACAAGATGAGATTTCGAGACATAGCATTCATCTTGAGAAACTTCTATGCGAATTGAAAAACAAATTTCCTGACAAGTGTTACTTTACCAAAGGGATGAAGAAAGATGTAGACGATTTCACCAGGAAGATCTCTGATTTGTTGGGCAAGCTTTCCGTGTTGCCTGACAAGCCAGCAGGACAGAAAACATTATATTCTCATGATAGCAGCGGATATAATAGTGGCAGAAAGTGTTCATATCTTCCCGGCCTCCATGCAAATGTGGAAGATCTCACCAAATTACAGGCTTTCAGACAAGTGAAACAGGAATTTAGAGCTTGAGATTAAACAGAAGATCTGCCTCTTGAGTTTCGCTGTGTTCCCGGAGAACAGAGAGGTTCATAGAACGATGCTGAAGTATTGGTGGATAGGAGAGAGGATTCTCCGTGTTAAAGGAGCTGAAGAAGCTGTGAGGGAGATTCTTAGGGGTTTCACTGACAAAAAGTTGGTCGAACCCGTCGAAGAGAGGCAGAAAGTGGTTCCAAGCAGTTACAAGATGAACCCTTTTGTGCATTCCTCAGTCATTCATATCTCAGAGGGGATTGGACTTTTCGATATGTATCATAAAGGGAAGAAGCGAAAAATGAACAGATCATATATGGAAAAGGTGTGCCTTGTGGAAGGGTCTGTAAACCAGCAAGAGGCAATCCATACAAATATGCCATGCATT